CCCCCCCCCCCGCCCCCTGCAGGTCAGCCCCAGTCTAAACCCCGGTCTTCTGAACGCATCACCCCTTCCCTTTCTTGCCCCGTCCCGGGCCTGCTGCCTTTCCAGGTTGTTCATCGAGACCTGAAGCCGAGTAACATTCTGTACATGGACGAGTCTGGAAACCCTGAGTCCATCCGCATCTGCGACTTTGGGTTCGCCAAGCAGCTTCGAGCTGAGAACGGGCTGTTGATGACACCCTGCTACACGGCAAACTTTGTCGCCCCGGAGGTAAGACCTCCGAGCCCGCAGAGGCGCGCCCTCCCCCACTGCAAAGGGGGATCTTGCTCAAGCACCCTCACCTTACCGTTTTAGTTTCCGGTTTGTCACGCTTTTCATGGTGATGTTCTTATGTGAAATCGGACTGTGCGGTAGACCGTGTGGGTCAAACCCGAGTGTTTGCTGGGAGTCGCGGAGATATGATGCGGTCGGACTGTCCTGCCGCCCAGAAGGGCGCTAACGGGTCCCCTGTGATCAGAAACCTACCTACAGCTGCACAGACGGAGGGGCGGGGGGGGGGGGAGCTGCGTGTCTGTGGGTCTCCTCTGTGCCAGATGCTGCTCCAGACTGTGGCCCACAGCAGACGCCGGCCGGCCACTGTGGAATGTCACACGACGCCCGTGGCGACTTGCAGGGGAGGGCTCCTGGCCGGCACCCAGTGGGTCAGATGATCTCAGCAACGGCCTCGGGTACATTTCCACCTTCCCGGGCTCCCGGGGATGGTTTTGTTAGGCTCCGAAGTCACTGATGTGTCCATGAAGACAAACCCAGTTTCTTGCTTTCTAGAAACTTAGCAACAAAACCTGAGAGGCCAGTCGAGCAGCACAGGGCTGGTGGGATGAGGGGTCAAGAAGGAGAACAGGTGCTATATCTGGATTCTGTGTGGATCCTTCTGGCTGCTGGTGGAGGCAGGCTGGCACCTAGTGGTGGGTCTGCGAGCTGAGAGGTAGCCCCCCCTCCCCGCCCCAGGGTGGTGAGGAAGGCAGGGTGCTGAGTCGAGATACAGCGTGGGACACAAGGCCATTTGGGGGTCACCCAGATGCTACCTGGGGCCCCTTTGAAATAATCTGCTTATAAGCCTCTATTGCTGCCTTATCTGATCAGAAATAATATTGATGGTATTGATTTTAGCGATTATAGACTATCTTAAATTGGTCTATTGCTTTATCATCTCCAAAGCATTTTCACCGGTATTTTTTACTTCTATCTTGATACACCGTACGAAGTACACAGGGTGAATACTATTAGCCACACTTCATAGATTCAGAAAAAAACCAGGTTCAGTGGGTTCAAGTGACTTTTGAAGGTCGCTCAGCCAGTGGAGACAGGGCTTGAACGACGAACATTCGGTTCATTTGCGTGTGCCGGCTGGTTGGCCGCCGACCGCGTTCCCGGCACAGCCCACGGTGTCCGCGTTGCAAACACGGGAAGACGGGGTCCTTGCCCTCGTGTCGAAGACAATCGGACACGGTCCTCCGTGTTTGATGCTAAACCCCGTAATGTACAGTAATCCGTGAGCATTTGTGCTGCTTTCCTTACTGTTCTCAACTATAAATCTATCAGAGCATCGTCTTCCACGGAAGTATGCAATCCTAGGACGCGTGAATTCTTCTGTTTTAACCGTTCCTCAAAAAACTAGACATAGGCTCACCATGCGGTGCGGTCACGCCTGTGCCCAGCATTTCTGAAAGCAGAGACAAGAGCAGATATTTGCCCACCGGTGTTCTCAGCAGCCCTGTTCACCAAAGGTGGGAGCCACCCACGTGTCCGTCAGTGGCTGAATGCCTGCACAGAATGTGGCATGTTTTCCAGTGGGTTATGAGCCTCGAACAGGAAGGACACCCCGTGCCACGCCTCAACACGATGAACCTCGAGCACGTTACGTTGTGTGTGATACGCAGGCAGAAGAGCGTAATTACTGCATGATTCCACTTACATGAGGTCCCTAAAGCAGCCAAATCCGCAGAGAAGACCGGAGGAGGAGAAGGAGGGTGGGGGCGAGGGCTGGGGGCGGGGCACAGAGAGCCAGTGTGTGATGGGAGTTGGTTGCAGCTTTGCAAGAGAGAAGAGTTCTGGAGGTGGATGCTGGGAACGCTTGAGTAACTGAACCGTACTCCTAAAACTGATTAAGATGGTAAATTCTAGGGGCGCCTGGGGGGCTCCATCCGCTAAGCGTCCGACTTCAGCTCAGGTCATGATCTCGAGGTTCGTGGGTTCAAGCCCCGTGTCGGGCTCTGTGCTGACAGCCCGGAGCCTGGAGCCTGCTTCGGATTCTATGTCTCCCTCCCTCTCTGCCCCTCCCTCACTTGCACTCTGTCTCTCTCTGTCTCAAAAGTAAGTAAACATTAAAAAAATGCTTCTTAAAAGACGGTAAGTTTTATGCTATGTACGTTTTGCCATAATGTCTTTAAAGTTCCTTTAAAAAGTCTTTCCTTTTCAGTCTGCGTGTCAGTGGATCTGGCAAGAACTGTGGTTCCTGTGTGTGCCCTGGTCCTTGGGGAGCCCTACTGCCAGGCGCCACGGTTGACTTTGCGTTGATAAACGACAGTTGCCCTGAAGACGTCCCCCGTCCCCCACCTGCCCAGCCCATCATCCCGTCAGAACAGCACGCTGGGAGCTTGAAGTTTCCTCCCCAGTGCTCATCCATCTCCTGCTTTTCCCCTGCAGGTCCTGAAGCGACAAGGCTATGACGCAGCGTGTGACATCTGGAGTCTGGGGACCCTGCTTTACACCATGCTGGCAGGGTAATGCGCGCCTCCCATGGGCGTCAGCACGCGACGGCACGCGCACCCGAGCCATCACGAGGCAGAGGTGTCAGGGGCTGTCCCATCCGGGCCCAGGGTCAGCCCTGCCCCGTGCTCGGGTGGGGACACACACTCGCAGGTCCTGGGTGAATGCTTTCAGGCTTCCTTAGCCCTTTCGGGACAAATGAAGACCAGGGATAAGAAAGTTAGCTTTATGTTTTCTTTACATTTTTTTTTTACTGTTTATTTATTTTTGAGAGAGAGAGAGAGAGAGAGACAGAGCACAGGCAGGGGAGGGGCAGAGAGAGAGGGAGACACAGCACCCCAAGCAGGATCCAGGCTCCGAGCTGTCAGCCCAGAGCCCAACACGGGTCTTGAAACCATGAACCGTGAGATCCTGACCTTCAGCTGAAGTCAGCCACTCAGCCAACTGAGCCACCCGGGCGCCCCTGTTTCCTTTCAGATGTATCTCCAGAATTAGGGAACTGAGCACAGAACTCAGCTCATCAGGAAAAATCCCAAGCCTCTGACCACGTGTCCACATTCTCCATTGCAACACACCGCCCCCTTAAAAGGTCACGCACATCGCCCCTTAAGAACATCCCCTTGAGTTAGGAAGCACCCGTAAACATTCCTGGTCAGAGAGCACCTCGAGGAAGGCAGCCAGGTAAAGGCAGGTGACTGATTTGCGTGGCCACCGGACGACAGGCCTGCCATCACGGAAAGAGGGTCGGGTCTGCCACGCCCCTTTCGATCCGGGGTCTGCCCTCGCCAGCTCTGCTTCTGGGCTGGGCTCCTTCCTCTACTGGCCTCACTCCCCTCACTTTTAAATGAAAAGGAAGGCACTGTGTGACACGTTAGGACTCCAGCCTTAAAGGTCTAGGACCCTACGAATCCAGAGTGGGATCGCTCTGTGATCTTCTGATACTCGCGTTGTGTGTACATAAATCTCAGACCGCAAACTTTGCCACTAAGACCAAGTGTCATGAGATTCACGCAGAATTCCTTTTCCAGGAAGGCATTTCTTGGCATGCCCCGGTCTATGGTGGGAGGTGATACGATAACACAACGCGGCAAGTGCCGACACATCGTGTAGTGTCTCTGTAGGTCCCCGCGATGTATTATCCTGCCTATTTGCAATTGAGTCTTAAGAAATTGGGGCGCCTGGGGGACTCAGTCAGTTGGGCGTCCGACTTCGGCTCAGGTCATGATCTCGCCGTCCGTGAGTTCGAGCCCCGCGTGGGGCTCTGTGCTGACAGCTCGGAGCCTGGAGCCTGCTTCGGACTCTGTGTGTGTGTCTCTTTCTCTGCCTGTATCCCACTCACGCTCAGTCTCTCTCTCAAAAATAAATAAACATTAAAATTCTTAAAAAAAAAAAAAAAGATTCTCTCTCCCTCACTCTTCCTCTCCCCTCTCTCTCTCTCTCTCTCTCTCTCTCTCTCTCTTTCAAAAAACAATTTGTTTGAGAACTGGAATTGGTAATAGACCAATCATGGGTCTCAGACTTCAAATCTCAGGCTCTCTGCCACGGTCTCAACGAGTGACCGGACAAACCACCCTAACAGTGTCCCCAGTGGTCCAGAAACGGTCCAGGGAGCTCGTGCTGGGGTCCACAGAGTTTTCTGCACTTGCCTTATTGACCTACAGCATTGGCCAAGTATGGAAGAGGGACGTAGCGTTAAGAAATAAGTCGGGGCGCCTGGGTGGCGCAGTCGGTTAAGCGTCCGACTTCAACCAGGTCACGATCATGATCTCGTCCGTGTGGAGTTCCGGGCCAGGTCAGGCTGGGCTGATGGCTCAGAGCCTGGAGCCTGTTCGTTCTGTGTCTCCCTCTCTGCCCTCCCGTTCATGCTCTGTCTCTCTGTCCAAATAAAATAAATAAACGTTGAAAAAAAAAATAAAAAAAAAAAGAAATAAGTAACACGGAAGCCTAGGTTTGTGCCCAGTCGGTTAAGCGTTCGGGCTTGTTTCAGGTCATGATCTCACTTGGTCTATGAGTTGAGCCCAGCTTGGCGTTCTGTGCTGGCAGCTCAGAGCGTGGAGCCTGTTTCAGATTCTTTGTCTCCCTCTCTCTCTGACCCTCCCCCATTTATGCTCTCTCTGTCTCAAAAATAAATAAACATTAAAAAAAAAATTAAAAAAAAAGAAGAAATAAGTAACGCTTTCCCCTGATTCTGGATTTGGAGCACGGCGGCAAAGAAAGAGCTATTCTCAACAAGGCAGGGGCAACATCTAGCTGTGAACTTCACCGTAGGTCATACAGCAGAGGTTCATTTTACCTGAATTCTCTCATTGCACAGATTTACCCCTTTTGCAAACGGCCCCGATGACACTCCCGAGGAGATTTTGGCGAGGATCGGCAGTGGGAAATACGCCCTTTCTGGGGGGAACTGGGACTCCGTCTCTGATGCGGCAAGGTGAGTGCTTCCCAGCGCTTTCTCTCTGCTTAGGGTGGGGACTCTAGTGACCGCTCCGTTTGCGAGGAAGCTAGGGGAGACCCTTCATAGAAATAACACATGTGTTTTATCTCGTAGATTTTTTTTTTTTTAGCTTCTCAGTTGAAAAATTCTTTTTCGCAAAGCTTCTCACGTGTCCCACAGTCTTGGTGCCCTGGGGTTCTCCAGAGAAATAGAATCCATTGGATTCCATGTGGACAGGCAGATACAGATTCTATGGAATTCATTGGATTCCATGTGGATAGGCAGATACGGAGATAGAGAGAGAGATTTATTCTTAAGATCAGTTCATGTGACTGTGGAAGTGACATGTGATAAGTCTCCAGTCTACAGAGTCAGCAGACTGCAGACTCCGGGAAGAGCTGGTCTCGTAGCTCTAGGGCAAAGCCCTTCTGCTGGCTGACTTCCCTTTTCCTAGGGGAACCTCTGTCTTTTTAATCTTCAGGGTTTCCCCTGATTGGATGAGGCCCACCAACACCATGAAGGGTCATTACTACGAGCTGACAGATTTCAGTGTCAATCTCGTCTAAGTAAGACTTTCACAGCATCATCTAGACTGGGGTTCGGCCAAACACCGGGAACCGTGGCTTAGACAAGTTGACCCATAAAATTAACCCTCACGCTTCTGGTGATGTCGTGAAATGGCGGCCCTGAATGATCACAGACTGATCAAGGACAACTCTGGGACAGAGATGTGTTTCTGTTGTTTTCAAACACTTCGCACTGGGGCTTCTCGGTAGCCTCGCCATTTTGGACCAGCCTTGTTTAAGGAAACGTCAGACTTCGTCTTTTTCAGTTGAGATCATCACCTCCTCTCTAATTAAATAGTAAATGATCACCTGACCACTAGTAAGAAGGAGTATCGACTTTCCGTTTCCTGTGTTCCTGTGAAATGGGTAGACGATCTGGGGTTCTGATTTCAGTGCTGCCATCATCGTCACTGTGTGACCTCGTACGGAGATGGCAGAGGGGATGGCGGAGATGGTGGAAAGATGACGGCGATGATGGTGGGGGTGATGATGGAGAAGGTGATGGAGTAGATGGCAGAGGGAATGGGGAAGATGGTGAAGTCGGCAGAAGAGATGATTGTGGAAGTGCTGACAGGTCATGGCGGAGGTGATGACAGGGGCCATGGTGGAGGTGATGGCAGAGGTCATGGTGGAGGTGATGACAGAGGTCGTGGCAGAGGTCATGGCAGAGGTGACGACAGAGGTCATGGTGGAGGTGAT